CTCATCCATTGTTCCTGTGTTTAAGAACTCTGGAGACCCCTCTGACCCCTACTAATTACCGTCCTCTTAGTCTCCTACCCCTGTTCGGCAAAGTCTTCGAAGCCCTAATCAATGCCGAAGTGGTTAATCACCTCACATCCCATAATCTGCTCTCAGACAAGCAATATGGTTTCCGCTACGCCCGATATACAGCTGATGTGCTTACGGCCATCACTACAACCGTCTACCAAGCCCTTCAAAATAACGGTGAGGCTCGTGCTGTGGCCCTCGACATCTCCAAAGCATTCGATAGGGTTTGGCACGCCGGCCTTCTTCGTAAGCTCAAGGGGTATGGTGTTACTGGTCAACTGTTTGATCTAATACGATCATTCCTGTCGAGAATTGAAGGTCGTTCTCAACGGATCCTCCTCCAGTTCCTATCCCACTAACGCAGGTGTGCCCCAAGGCTCCATCCTTGGCCCCACTCTTTTCCTTATTTTCATCAATGACCTTCCTGAAGCTATAGATTCCCAAGTCGGCATCTATGCAGACGACACTACAATTTACTCCTGTCGGCAACAAAACTAACCTTGCCGTGCGTCTTGAAATGGACCTCCAATCGGTTGTTAACTGGGGCAAGAATTGGCTGGTTAACTTTAACGCCACAAAAACTAAATTACTCTCCATTAACCACCATAGAGATCCCTCCCTGCCCCCCATTAAAATGTCTGATAGCCAACTTCCTGAGAGCAACTCCCTGCGTCTGCTCGGTCTCACGCTGACTGCTGACCTGAGATGGAACAAATACATTGAGTCAATTGCTTCTTCCACCGCGAGGAAAGTTGGCTCTCTGTGCCACGCCAGGAAATTTTTCTCCCCTGAATCGATACTTCAAATATACAAAACAACCATTCGCCCTTGCATGGAGTATTGCTGCCATATATGGGCTGGAGCACCTTCTGCTTACCTCGGAATTCTTGACAAGATCCAGAGAAGGATATGTAATCTAATTGGCCCTGATCTAGCGTCTTGTCTGCAGTCACTCTCTCACAGACGCGCCGTCGCCTCTCTCTGTCTTTTCTACAAATACTTCCATGGTAACTGCTCTGGTGAGCTGCTCTCTCTGGTTCCCAGACTCCATGAATTCAAGCGCCTTACGAGGCTGGCATCCCGTTCTCACCCTTACACCGTAGAAACCTTCAAATGTAGCCGTCTCTTCTACTCCAATAGCTTCATACCTCACCTCTCGCCAGTGGAACACCTCCCCAATTACTGTTTCCTGAAAGCTATAATCTCCAACGATTCAAATGTAATGTCAATCGACATCTCCAATTACCTTGATCTACCCACTATCCTTCTCCTCTTCCTTTCTCCTATCACTCTTACCTGCTCTCGCTCCAAATCTTCCGCAAACCCCTACATCCTAGTGGCTTCACGCCTTGCTTGGGGCACAATGCTTAAAAAAAAATATATATATATATATATATATATATATATATATATATATATATATATACATGTAAATATAAATATAGGTAACTATATTCGTTTCGAAAAAAACTCGAATTTTTGATTTGCCAATAATCAAATCAATCTCGAAGGAAAAAAGGTTTTAAAAAAAGAAAGAGCTAGAAACATGAAAGTCTGTCGACAAAAATCGCACAGATACAGGTTTGAAGCCCAAAGAAAAACCCCGACACGAGTAAACAACTTACTAACAAAAGAGCTCAGTACAACCGTAGAGCAGACCTTGATAAACCTAGTGAGCCAAACAAACCAGCTTTCCCTGACGATCCGTTTAGGTGAAACCTGGGTAGGTTTGTCTGGCTCACTAGGTTTATATATATATATATATATATATATATATATATATATATGTGTATTTACGCAGCATTTTTTCATTCATACATGTTTAATTAAATAATATAGACAAGGGTTGTCTATTTATTTTATGTAAATTCTTTTCATAACGTCTGATAAGCTTAATAACATTGTCATTAAACGAAGAAAAAAAAATCACAATATTGAGACATATTTTTTAATCTTATCTAAGCTTTCGGCTTACATAAGCCATTATCAAAGATGTCAATTACTGTACACCATATTCAGCAATATACGGACAAGACAGCTATGATACCCTGTCCAAGGGTATTACAACTTATATTATCTAATGAAACATATATATATATATATATATATATATATATATATATATATATATATATATCATTTGGTCAAATATATGTTAAAAAGCGTTAAGAGGTCATTTCATAAAAGAATCGCCTGAGGAGACCGTAAACTACTGCCGAGTGGACGATAATTTTACTTTCTAAAAGCAGAATACTTCCTCTTTTATTCTCGACAAAACTGAGTCCTCTTTTAAATTAAATGTTTCTGAGAGTGGAATTATACTCCATTTGTTCTCATTTTTACCTGGATATATATACAGTGTGACCCAAAAAACCGGGAACTTTTTAACAATCCAATAAAACCAAGAGTGATGGAAGAAAAATATTTTATTCATAGTAATTGAAACCTTAAAACATGCCATTTACGAAACAATGATGGAATTTTCATTTTTTAAAAATGACGTACTGTAGATGTCGTCCTCCTGTACGAATGCATTTTTGAAATCTGCTGTTGAGATTCCTCATTGACTGCTGCAACATCTCAGTTGGGATACTGTGAATTTCATCTTGAATTCGAAATGGCGAAATGTTTACTTGCTCAAGTTCACTGTCTCGCAGTGTTGCCACTTGCTCATGTCTGGCAATACGCACTTAAAAAATTCCCGTTTTTTGGGTCACCCTATATATATATATATATATATATATATATATATATATATATATATATATATATATATATGGGCAGAAATCCTTTTTTTTATACCAGTTTCGTTAAAAAAGTATGACAAGGTACTTTTCTTGTGTTCTTATAATTTTGACATGTCTATTAAGGAACTCTGACCAATTCAAATTCCTAAATAGTTATATTGGATATACCACAACATGCCTAACAAGACGACTCACATTACATCTCTCTGCTTGTTGATTCTGTTGCTTCAAGTCTCTTATTCATTTGTAAAGACATTGTCCAGCATTCACTACCATATAGGAGGAATGATATTACGTAACAGCTAATTACTCTTTTTTTTGTTTCTCTTGTTTCAAGTCTCTTCTTTATATAGGAGCATAGATATTACGTAACAGTTTAGAAACTCTTTTCTTTGTTTCTAAGGAAACTTTCCTCTATCTTAATAATTTGATTTGCGTTTGCAAGATATAATTCGCTATACCAAAGCACATTTGGATTTCAGTGTTGCCCTTTGCGTCTTCTTTTAAAACACTTCCCAGATGATTAAGCTGTTGTACTTGTTTTATTTTGATATCTCCAATTTGTAATTTGCATGTCATGCATTGCTTCTTCTTACAATTGGTTTTTAGTTCTCTCTTCTCTCGTTTCTTCACTACCTTCTGTAGTAGTCCATGTAGAGGGTACCCAGTAAAAAAGAAAAAAAAGAAAAAGCGGTAAACTTAGAAAGAAATTTATTTAGCTATCATGATTCTTGCATAAGTTGAACAATCATCATATAGATGTTCAAAATGTTTGCCTGAACAACACAAAGTTGTAGTCTTGGTAATCAGGAGGCACTAGTATTGCGAATAGTGTCAAGAGGAATTTTATTCCAAGCATCAGTGAAGTCCCACTTCAATGAATAAATATCGAAAAAATGACGGTTTTTCAAGTGAATTAGCAAGTGAATTATACTCCAGAGAGAGTAAACCATAACATTCAAATCTGAGCTTTTAGAGGGCCAATGAGATGAAACAATTCAAAGAATAAATTTACCGCTTTTTTAATAAGCACTCTGTAATTACCTTTCTGTATCTACTCTTAAAACTGTCTCATCTATATATCTTATGGTATATATTAAGATACCACCAATAATGAATCCTGGTAGGACAGTTTCCTTGGTAAGACGATAAACTACGTCCAACAGCAAGGCCTCTGATCAGGAGGCTTTGAGGAGCGTAGAACCACCTCTTAATTGCTGGTGTTTCCAGGTCAACCCTAACACGGGGTCACCTGTTAGGGCCCCAGCTATAGGCAAATAGTAACCCTAAACTGGGGTCAAAACAATATGAAAGTGTAAAAATAGGTTCTAATACAAGCAATGTTTTTTGTAAAAAACTTACCAGCAATAGATTTTAAAAAAAAAATTTACCAGCAATAAAAATCTTGTCGGCATTAAATAACCCACTGAGGTTGATATGCCCTAAAACAAAACAAAACAAATAAACAAACAAACGTGGTAGGACATCCAATTCTCTCAGAATTGCGTCACTGTATAGGTTGAATAAATGCGGTGAGAAAACCCAACCTTGTCTTACTCAGCTTTCTATTTTTAGTAACATTAAATATGACGACATGTTTGAATCACACCATTCGTTTGAAGAATATCAAAATTGTTTCGATATAAAGAAATTGGGGAAATATGAACGTCCCGTGCATAAACCTTATAAACTGACATTTTGGGTTTGAGAGTTCGACATTTATAGACAAATCGGTTTCAGTTCATTTGGTAAAATTGGCTCTGTCGACATCTGTCACGGTTCAATGATTTAGCTTTATTTAAACAACGTTTATAAATCTAGATGGAAAACATCAAGGAAATTTGCTTACATTTTTGTTATTTTCTGTATACAATCGTCCCTAACTCTCTCATCTCCTCCTCTCTCACACCGATATATCTCTTCTGCTTTCACACTGCCTTACTTCCACCCCTATTTCTCACCTTCTCTCACACAATACATCTCTTGCAGCCCTCTATCACACACCATCTCTATATCCATCCTATCTCTCTCACAACCCCCTCCCTCTCTCCTGGTCATTCTCTCAAAAGATAAAATTTATTATATCTAACTGACTGAGCGATTTTAACTGTTTTTGTATTGGCCTTATGCCAGATTAGGATAAACATTTCAAGCAGAAGAGAAGTATACCTCTTTGCATTAATTTTAGGCTTGATATGGAGATAGATAGATAGATAGATAGATAGATAGATAGATAGATAGATAGATAGATAGATAATGAGCTGACTAAAATAGATTACGAACAGACTGTAAAATATAGATAGATAATGAACAGACTGAGATAGATATATATATATAGATAGATAGATAATGAACAGACTGAGATAGATAGATAGATAGATAATAAACAGACTGATATAGATAGATAGATAGATAGATAGATAGATAGATAGATAGATAGATAATGAACAGACTGAGATAGATATATATATATAGATAGATAGATAGATAATGAACAGACTGAGATAGATAGATAGATAGATAATAAACAGACTGATATAGATAGATAGATAGATAGATAGATAGATAATGAACAGACTGAGATAGATAGATAGATAGATAGATAGATAGATAGATAGATAGATAATGAGCTGACTAAAATAGATTACGAACAGACTGTAAAATATAGATAGATAATGAACAGACTGAGATAGATATATATATATAGATAGATAGATAATGAACAGACTGAGATAGATAGATAGATAGATAATAAACAGACTGATATAGATAGATAGATAGATAGATAGATAGATAGATAATGAACAGACTGAGATATATATATATATATATATAGATAGATAGATAATGAACAGACTGAGATAGATAGATAGATAGATAATAAACAGACTGATATAGATAGATAGATAGATAGATAGATAGATAGATAGATAATGAACAGACTGAGATAGATAGATAGATAGATAGATAGATAGATAGATAGATCGATAATGAAGAGACTGAGATAGATAGAAGATAGATAGGTAGATAATGAAGAGACTGAGATAGATAGATAGATAGATAGATAGATAGATAGATAGATAGATAGATAGATAATGAAGTGACTGAGATAGATAGATTGATAATGAAGAGACTGAGATAGATAGATAGATAGATAATGAACAGACAGATAGCTAGCTAGATAGATAGATAATGAACAGACTGAGATAGATAGATAGATAGATAGATAGATAGATAGATAGATAGATGTGAACAGGCGTGTTTTGGTATCTGTTGACCGGTATCTTTATCATTTTAACAAACCTATATACAGTGGGGGAAAATAAATATTCGTACACTTAAAAAATTGTATTTTTTTAAATGTAAAAGCCTTAAATAAAACAATTCTCGGCACATGTTATGAATAAAGACACATACTATTAAAAAATCATAATAAACTTTACTAATTCTTGTTCTAACAGTAATTAATGCATTTTAAAAAAATTCTAACTGGTGAAAAAAGTATTCGTACAAATCAATTATTAGAATAAAATAATCAATTAATTATGAAAAAAAGTATATTCTAGAATGTTCCAGTAATGTTATCAGTAATTATATTTAACACTATTAGCCATTATCAGAGCATTCTGCAATTTCTAGTCTTACGAGAAAGTTCTAATAATACCTAAAGGTAAAGAATTGACTATTTCACAAAAACAACACATTTTGTCTCTTTGGAAAGATGGGAACAGTTACAGAACGATTTCTAACAACCTGAAAATTCCTTTTACTACAATTGCTTCGTTCATTGCAAGGTTTAAAACTCGTAAGAGCATCGAAAATCAAAGACGAACAGGTGCTCCGAGGAAGATTTCTCTAAGATCAGCAAGGATATTAGGACGCCAGATCCAAAAAATCCACAGGTTACCCGAGAAGATCTGCAGGAACTTCTGCTTGCATTAGGGATTAAAGTAACCAAGCGTACAATAAGTAATGAAATACACAAAAACAGTCTGAAATCACGCATCCCAAGAAAGATGCCACTCCTCTTGAAACGGCACAGATGCTAGGCTAAAATTCGTTAGAGAGCATAAGGATAAAGAATATTCGTTTTGGGAAAAAGTACTATGGACAGATCAAACTAAAATAGAGTTGCTTGGTCATAATTATCGAAATCACGTGTGGAGGAAGGACGGTGAAGCCTACTTACCAAAGAACACGTTGCCAACTGTAAAGTTTGGTGCTGGCAGTATCATGATCTGGGGCTGTTTTTCTGCAAAAGGTGTTGGCAAAATATCAATAATAGATGGCAAGATGAATGACGAAAGATATCAGAAAATCCTGCAAGACAATTTAATGCGTTCTGTTGAGAGACTTCGTCTACTTCCTGATTGGTTTTTCCAACTGGATAATGATCCTAAGCATAGCGCTAGATCTACAAGGAAATGGTTACCTGAAAGTAACGTTGATGTCTTGCAATGGCCAATTCCGTCCCCAGACTTGAACCAAATCGAGAATTCATAGCGATATTTGAAAATTCAAATTGGGAAAAGAGCACCAACAAATATCAAGAATTTGAAGACAATATGCCAAGAAGAATGGGACAAAATACCACTCAATATATGCAAATCATTAGTTGAGACATACAAGAATAGACTGATAGCTGTTGAACTCAATAAAGGATATTCCACAAAGTATTAAATTAAGTTAATATGCTTTTTTGTTTTGTACGAATACTTTTTTCATCAGGTAAAATGAAAAAATGCATTAATTTCTATTAGAATAAGAATTAATTAAGTTTATTACTATTTTTTAATAAAATGTATCTTTACACATAAAATATATCAAAATTTGTTTTAGTTAAGGCTTTTGCATTTATAAAAATACAATTTTTCATGTGTACGAATAATTATTTCCCCCCACTGTATGTAAACCTCTTATTCAATATTGACTCAGATTATTTCACCTCCGAAAGAAAAGCAGTGAGACTTATAGTCATTAACGATTTAGTCGAAGACACTTATTGAATATAGTTCCCCGTCACGATATTTACTAACCTTTCTGGCTCGGAGACAGATATTAATGAACGTTCCCTACCGCTGGTTGTCTCCCTTGAATTCGCATTCTTTCGAACGCTTCCAAGCTAGGAAATGTTTAATCCCTGATGCCTGAGGGACTCACAGAAGTAAAGTGCCGAATAATATGGCCAATTTCTAACACCAGTCGTCTATACGCGATGCGAGATCCACATTAATTCCGTAATTATTTCAAAACTATCCTCTTAGCGAACTAAAACTAAATAAAATGGCTTCCTGTTCATGTACTTCTTCTATCTTCCCTGTGCCATCAAGACGTAGCCGATTATCATTCTCCACATCTTCTTCGTAGCTCTTAGTAAGGCTTGTCTTTTTAAACAAATCTCCCACTACCTGTTCAGCCAACCATTTACATGAGCTCTCGAACTAGGTCACTCGGTGTTTCCTTCCATTTTAATTTCAATATATCCCGTGAGTGTCAAATTCTCCAAGCTTTATTTCCTCATTAGGCACGGTATCCCCCCACTAAAAAAAAAAAAAAAATGAAATTGTCGCTCAAATTTAACAAAATGTGTAAAAATAAGGTTGACTGCACGGATTTGTCTCATTCAGACTCTACCATCAAGATCAACTAGGTGTGTCAGGGATAATGGCAATGACCTGTTGAAATGACTTGACACCTGATTTTTTTCGATATGAAAGGACAGGTATATATCCCTCTTTTCTTACAAGACGAAAGAAATTTAAGCAGAGAATCACTGAGGCACTGGAGAATGTTACGTAAGACATGCTACAGCGTGTTTGGCAGGAGCTGGACTACCGCCTTGACATCTGCCGTGTCACAGATGTTGCGCATATTAAACATTTGTGAAAGCATTGTGAAATCGGTTATAAAGCCTACATCCCTTTGAATATATTGTTCGAATTTTGATAAATAAATCTTTTATTTTGCAACAGGAAGCCTTTTAATTTCGTTTGCCTCGGATATGGAGTTACTCAGATATTCAGATTTTAAATGATGTCAATTTGGGAGGGGGGTATCATATTTAAAAGTCCACTTGTTTTCCACAATTTCAGTCCATCGTATCTTCAGCAACATTCTCTATAACAACATTTCTATTGTTTCACGTCTCTTCTTCATCTGTGAGGAGATATAAGAGGACTGATATTACATAACTATTCCATATTATTTTCTTTGTTTCTGTTGTTTCAAGTCTCTTCTTCATTTGTGAGGAGATTGTCCAGCATTCACTTCCATATTGGACGACTGTTATTGCATAACAGTTCAGTACTCTTTTCTTTGTTTCTGTTGATTTAAATTTCTTCATCATCTGTGAGGAGAGATTGCCCCGTATTCACTGCCATATAGGAGGACTGATATTGCATAACAGTTCAGTACTCTTTTCTTTATTTCTGTTACTTCGAGTCTCTTCTTCATCTATGAGGAGATTGTTCAGCATTCACTGCCATATAGGAGGACTGATATAACATGAGAGTTCAGTACTCTTTTCTCTTACTCTTTTCCAGCATTCACTGCTATATAGGAGGACTGATATTTCATAATACTTAAGTACTCTTTTCTTTGTTTCTGTTGCTTCATGTCTCTTCTTCATCTGTGAGGAGATTGTCCAGCATCCACTGGAGGACCGATAGTACGTGACAGTTCAGTACTCTTTTCTTTGTAACTAATTTTTCCTGTTTCTTAATTCTTTGCTTACCTTTTGGAAAACAACTTTCGCTATCCCAATACGCCTTCTGATTTGGTGTCAGAAAGTACTTTGACATTTAAATGTTCGTAATTGGTAAATATTTTGGTATCTTCATACTTCACACCTTTCCTGTTCCTCTTACTTAAAACGATAACAATTGATAGTTAGTCCTTTCTCCTCGCTTTTCTTTATTACCTTCTCTAGGAATTCCTGCAATTTCTTTTTTATGTCTGTGAGGCGAATGAAGAAAACAGTAGCGAGTAAATTCAACACTCAGCTGGTATTTCAAACTTGAGTCGTTCCTTCTTGAGTTCTGTCTCCAAATCACACTAACTGTTCTAGCTGTCAACCGTGAACGTCCCTCGAAGAACTCGCCGACTTGGAAAAAAGTAGTTGTTTTTTATAGTTGTTCATATAATCCCTTGCATCTTCCTGTGATCCCATAATTCATTGCGTCCATGTCCCATAATGCATTGCGTCCTTATTGGATAAAAATGCGATAGTCCCCCTCATTCTTTTATGTTATCTGGTCGAGGATGGATTCGGCAGCGGTAAGTGCTTTTTTTTCTCTCCTCATTTCAACTGCAGTAGCTTTACATGCTAAGCATGGGCTCTTTTTGGCGGGGACAAGGCAAGTCGCGACTAGTTATATTCGTCCCAGGTTCTGTCTCAAATTATCTCCTGATCACACAGATGACAGTGAGGATACGGTCTTTTTGTTCCGGGGTTTCCGAAGGGGATGAACTTCTTCATATCATTAGACACGTATATTGGCAAACTATATCGGATGATGAATCCAATATATATATTGGCTGTTCACTATCCTCCGTGTCTTCTTCGTCAGTTGTGGGATTTGAGCCCAAAATGGCGCAGGTCTCTAACATGACGAGGTGTTCCATCGACCCGCACTGACTGCTGACTCACCACCTCGGTCACACGTCCGGTTCCAAATTTGGTTGCATTTACCACGTGGAGTCTTAACCTGACAATGTCCCCTTCCTTGTATTCCCCTTCGGTTATTTGTGATTCAGGCGGGGGCGTCGCGTCGATGCCTCTCACCCGGACGTGTATGTGTGCAGTACATCAGCCGGTGCCGGAAGGTGAAAGGTTGTCCTTAGGTGTGACGTTTGCCAGTAAAAACTTCCAAGACTGAACAATTTTTCTGGCGCATGGTTTTGCTTCTGTGGTTGTTCCACAATGCCATTTCCAGACGGCACGTAAGCGCACCGGAACCTCAAATGCACGCCCCAGCTGTTCACAAATTCCTTAAATTGTCTGCAAGTGAACGTGGTGTCATTGTCAGTCAGTACGTTCGTAGAAGACTGTCTCTAGCTGACGAATGACACCAGCAGAGTCTTGCCGTCTCAGTGGCTGCCATACTGCAAAACGGAGGGCACAGTCAATGAGCGTAAGAAAATGGCTACCATTGCAATGGGTTACGTCCATTGCTAACCTGCTCCAGTTTTTTCTCACACTCAAATTTCCTTTTTCCAATGCACTGGTGCTGGAGATCGATTGGCAGGCCACAGGTTCTAATAACAAATCA